ATGACATTTCTATATATTTAAATATATTTTTCTTATTTTTGGATTGGGTCTGGTTCGAATCAGGACTCGGTCTAGCCGGGCCCAACCCGTTGCCACCCCAAGGTAAATGGATTCTCGGACTGTCTTAAGAATTTTTAGCACCAAAATTGACCTGTTGCCACCCCAAGGTAAATGGATTGTAAATGGATTCTCAGGCTGTCCTAAGAAGTTTTGGCACCAAAATTGTATCTTGTAATAAAATTTGGTAGTACACCTTACTTTGATTTGATTGTTTCAGGTTGCAACCTTATGCAAACCACGCCCTTAATAAAATGTAAATACGAAAACGAAACAATTTGCTACTCTTTCTTTCTTCTTGCCACAACACATTTACTACCACATTACATTTTAACAGTGAGAGGCAAAAGGATAACTTCAATAAATATCATTTCCTTATGAGGCCAAAAATTTAAAAATGGTCACATACAATCTGGAGAGAAGGGTCCCCAAATCATTTAGAGCCAAACCAGAGCACCTGCTTCTCTCTTTCAAAATAACAAAAGAATAAGTAATAAAATCATGTGAAAAATGAAAGGAAAAACCCGAGAACCAAGAAAAAATGATGAGAGTGACCAACACTCTACAAATGCAAGGAAACAAAAATTACGAAGGGTCGGCGGCTGCCTCCTCTGCCGGAATCAAAGCAGCATTTCGCTTCATGGAAGCAGTCTTGATCAGATGGTTGTAATTGCCCTTCTCCTTGAAAAGCTGAGCAAAATGGTGCTTACAGTAAAGGATGCCATCAAGAGCTGCATAAGTTGAGGGTGTAAGGGGGCATCCTCCATGTGAACACTTGAAGCATGACTTGTGATATGATTCACCCTCCACTGTAACCTGAACCATTTTGTTCTCTTTCTGATGAGTAGGATAGTTGGGATTTGTGTAGGGAAAGTGTGTGACATAGGATCATGGTAATAGTGTATGGTCATAGGGAGAATAGATAGTTTAAATGGTGATGGAGGGATGGTAGGACAAGCAATAGACTTAGTGAAATATTTGGTAAAACCTCTTCTCCATCATCCAATCCATTGATGAAGTGGTGATAACCCTTATGACTCTATTCTTTCCATGATCATATGGATTACAATATCTTCACCCTTTGTATTGAGGAACATATATATATGCACTAGCAACATACAATCTGACTTGGGTTAAAATTACTGAAACACTATCAACAAACTTTTTAAACTTCAGCTACCATCTTTAAAGCCCATAAAAGAGTAATATGCCATTTACAAGATCATTTAAGGCTGATATCAGGATGATAACCACCTACAATTACTTGTCTTTCAAGAAGTGATGAAAAAATGCCAACCAAAAAAAAATGTCTAACAGGAGGAGAAATTATGTTTTCGTCGAAATAATTTGGCCAATCATACATATTGTGATCCACAATCCTTCTATTGTAACAACATTCTTTGTTCTTTTCAAATTAAGGGGGATCATAATACCATGAGCTCAATCCAGAATATGGTTAGCAATTAGTATTATGACAATATATTGGTAAAACCAAAATGTCAGTAGTAAATTGGTTTCAGTTTAGAAAAATGGAGCAAATAAAAGGGGTTAAAAAAAATGACGTGCCCAAAATTGTTGAATGAAAAACACGTGATTAGTTCATAACAGACTAAAAAAAATGGAGCTAACAAGAGCAGGAGCATATATGTATATCTGTGTATGTGCATTATATGGGATGTTCACTTACTTATATTGCTTTAAAAGAAAAAATATAATTTTGGTTTACAGTATAAATAACCAACAAATAAACCGATATTAATACCTTGTTTCTGCTCAGAGGGCAATATATCTTATTTTAAATCGACAAAAATGGCAAAGAAGAATAAAATTAGAGCAAAATTTTTAATTCTTTTGAAAAAATGAAAATGTCGGTCTTTTTTATTGAGATTTTTTTTGAAGTTATTTTGAAAATTATTCATTAAAAACTTTTTTTTTAATCAAAGTACTTGATCATGTGAATGAATGCACCATTATGTACACATTGATCTATAAAAGATGGATGTATGAGGTAAGAGCATAAACAAACAATGAAAGTATGTGATGTGTTAAGCATACATGCATGCATCAGGCAAAGACATAAACTACCTTCTCTAGAGGATATGCTGTTTTATAGCAAGTAGCACACTTGTCCTGTGTCCCTGAGAAGAGAGAGGAAAGTTTGCTGGGGGCCCTAGCCTGCAAAGAACAATAAACATACAATTCACAGTAAATTATCTCAGTGTCAATGGCTCACTATAAGCAAAATTTTGCAAGACTGATAAATTAAGGAGAAGCTCATGAAGTGCTAAAATGAAGAAAGATGGTCATAATCATGGCTGCCAATGCGCCAGGCTGCCTGACTCAGATAACCTAATGCCTGCAGAAAGTGCTAAGGCCTGGCCTTAGCTTAATGACCAAGGTCGGCCAGCCCATAGAAGATCGTGCAGAGTTTGTTTGAGTGGGCTCAGGTAATTGTATAAAACCCTCCAAAGGCCCATGGGCCGGGATTTGGCCTAGGCCCAACTAAATGATTTGGCCCTGGCTGGGTCCAGGACTGGCCATAATATCTCAAGCCTTATGCCGACATTTGTCGGTCTGTTCCCTGCACTAATCATAGTATGTTAGGCTTCATAGCATTCTTTTGGACAAATATCAATAACATCCTCTCCTGTACTCAACGAATTTGCTTTTACACGTTTGGTACGTGTGAAAGTATTATTGTGAAAGTATATTTACATGAAAGAATTCCCCCATATGATTTTAAAATCAATTTGCAACTAGATGGTGTGAGTATACAATACACCACAAGAGCATCCACTGTATGTTTCCACCTACCGATGGTGGACATTAATCATACCTGGGTGAGTGTTAAAAATTGAAAATTCGAGTTAAGTTCGACACTATCGCATAGGAATGGATAGTGGATGTGCCGAGGTGGTATATCATATATCACAATATGTAAGTGTAATGCATGGTCTATAGGGCTGGGAATGGGTTGGGTTAGATCTAGATAGACCTAGACCCAGACCCGACCTTATTGGACTTAGGTTAGGAGCTACTCTAGCTCTAAAATTAAAAAATATAAATAATATAAACAATTATGATATATTTTATAATACATAGTTACTATGTATTTTTGCTTATTCACATATATGTAAGGTCAGGTTGACCTCGACTCAGACCTGAGCTCACCTAATAGTGTCCAAGTTGGACCCGAACCCAAACCTAACCTAGGTTGGGTCAAGGTCAAGTGGAACTAGACCCAATCAGTTGGGTCCATTGTATGGGTTGAGACTTGGATCTGATCAAGTAGACTATCGGATCCATGGGTTGACCCGGCTTGTTCCCCACCTTAATAAGTTTTCTAAAAAAATAGAAATCTAAAAAAATTAGGACTCTGGGCTATATCTCTTAGTTCTTGAGATATATGTAATACCTATGGGAAGTTTTCTATTTGGTGTAGACTCCTAACATTATATATATGGGATGAAAATGCAGAGAAGTCATATGGCCTATTTAGATCACCATATAGGAAAGGCGGTTTCCTCTAGAGAAAGAGGCATGGCCTCCTCAACATAAGCAAGACCTCCCCTTCGAGAGAAAAGAGCTTCTTATGGAGATAAACACCACAGATGTACCTTCTGTGAGAGGCTGGTTTCTGATAGATAATCAGCAAGGCCTCCCCATAGGGAGAAGAAAGCTTCCTATGGAGAGAAACACCATAGATGTGCCTTCTGTAATAGGTTGGTTTCTGGTAGATAAGCAGTCCCATGAAGATTTTGGGTGGTTTCCCCTTTAGAGAAAGAAAATCTTGGTTCCTCTCAAGGTTCTCCTCCTGGACAGTAGTTTAGTTGTGGAATGGAGATGGTCTCTTCCTGAACTGCGGTTTAGCTGTGGAATAGAGATGAGAGGTCGACGATGGTGCCGATCTAGAGACTGAGTCTAAAAGGGTTTACTTGACTGGGTTTTGTCGAGGGTTATAGATGTAACTCTATGTTCCAAAATCTATAATGTAACTTCCATTGGTACAGTGGATTTTAGTTGCCGTACCCGTGGATGTAGCCCTTATAGGGTGAATCACGTTATCTTTGTATTCTTGTGGTGTGTGTGTATTTTATGCTTTATTTCTCATATTATGGCTCGTGCTCTTGTCTATTTTGTTTCTAGCTTGATAAATAAATCTTTATGTTCTTGGCGTCAACCACGTAAATCTTTGTTTCTATTTGGTAGGATCCAATATTTGAGATTCTTGTTTCCGCGTCTAAGAGGGATCTTAATTCCTAACATTGATCATCATACCGAGTACAAAGGTGCATATACATTTGCTAATAATACAAATTTTAGAAATGGCAACATTAAAAATAGTTCTTCCATAGTAGTAGTACTATTTAAAGAAGGAAAGGTGTGGCATTGATGTTTTGAAGATTGCCTCGGCCAAGGTACTCGGGCATTGGCCGAGGCAAGTAACTCAACAGAGTTCAAGTTGCTTTGGCCAATTATGCACAATAAAAAAAAAAAAGTGAAAAGTAAAAAAAAGGAAAAAACTCTTAAAAAAGTTAAAAATCAGAAAAAAATAAAAAAAAATGAAGTTAATAGAAATCATTAGCAGACTAAAGAAGATGGAAAAAAAAAAAAAAATCTAGCAAAGATAGATTATTGAAAAACTTATTTTATCTTGAATATCTCAGAAAAAATAAAAAAAAAGGAAAAAGTATGAAAGTCCTAAAATCATTTAAAAAACTTTCATGTGCTTCTAAATTAATATTTCTAAATAATGTATTGGTATTTTTTATTTGTTATATTTTTAACAATTTTTTATATGTCTTTTAGAGGTTTTTTGGTGTAGGATGAGTTGGCACCCAACTAGCCTGGCTACTAGGGCTAAGTAATTTGCCCTAGTCCAAGTGGATTCAAGAGAGTTCTGAAACAATGTATGGGATTTTACATGAACAAAGTATATTTTTTGTGAGATCTCAAGAAGAAAAACTGTGGGGTTTTAGTTGAATTAATTTTTTTTTCTTGTTTTTTTCAATTGAGGTTTCAAGAAGAAAGGGTAAGACAAAAGTGCTTAAATTTCTAAAAGGATTTTAGTACAAGGAGGTTACAATTATTTATAATCATCCGATGTAAAATCTGAAAGCTTGGGTGTCTTACAAAGTTTCAAAAAATTTCTTTTGAACTTGAACTTGGTTAATGAAATAAATGCAATCACTCAAGGTGATCTTCAATGGTCAAGATTAATTGCGACCGCTTTATACCTAAAGTAAATAGTCTCATTGTATACTTTTCTATTTCCACAAATATCAAACTCAAGTATTGTATCATTGACCACACATGCAAGAAATGGTTAACACATTTGTCCATTAAATGTGCAGATTGATATCGGCTTACCAAATCATGTTGCTTGTCTGCAGACTTCGGAGCTGAAAATTAACCAAGCATAACAAAAAAAAAAATAGTATAAGCCAACCACAAATAGTTGGGATAAAGCTCGGATGTTGATAATAAATAAAAAATACCAAACCATAGGTCTTTTCATGGCTTACTACCAAACCAAAGTTCTTAATTTCATATAAACAAGTACATTGAGAGAGAGAGATAGGGGTGGCAATGGACCTAGATCTGACCCGATCTGGGACCCAAGGGATAGATCCGATCTATGTCTGGGTATGGGTTCACCTGACAGGTCAGATCCGGGTCAAAATCTTGAACCCAAATACTATTCAGATCTGGGTATAGTAATATTTTTGGGGTCACAATATATGAAACTTATTTAAATATAATTAAATATATAGATATTCTAATTTTTTGGCTGAGGTCCGATCGGGTACTGATCCCGCTGGACCTGATCTGACCTGATACCACCCCTAGAGAGAGAGAGAGATTCTCACGTAATTGAAAGCTCTTGTTAAAGCTGCCGGTCTCCTTGAATAGCTGTTCAAAATGAGGCTTGCAATACAAGACACCTTCCAGTGACGAGTAATTGCTTATCTGGAGAATTACATAACAAAAATAATAAGATATATGCATTTGATTACAATAGGTTGGTGATCTAACCTTTAACAAACTACAAATTAAATTTTCATCTCATTATAAAAAATGATCTGACACTAATATTGTGCTTCAGTGTTTGAAAACCCGGATCGGTTATCAACTTGGACAATCACAGGGGTCAGAGTCGGCTACCGGTTACAGGAAAGTCGGTTAGAAAAAGTGAAAAACATCCCAAAAATAACTATCTAGACTAAGGGACCATAGGGTCAGAGCTGTGGCGATTCCCAGTCGCCTCACAATTTTTCTCATTTGAAGTAAATGGACAAGATTCATATAAGAATCCTTAAATAATTGAAATAAAGCTATGAAAATCAATTAGACAGTGGATGATCATTAAGCAAATTTTTCTGCGCCATCGAAAGGGAAAGAGTTGAGCCCTTAGCTATAAAAACAAAAATAAAAATATATTGATCCAAGGTGTGATAGGCTAGTGCATTCTCACCCAATGAAATGATGGTCTAGGCTAGCTCATTCAGATCCCTATGAAAATCATTTCTATTTTTAATAACTTTCTTCATACCTTTATGGAGACCATTTTGGGCATGTGCACTAGGAACAAAAAATGATAACTTGTAGAGAGAAAAAAAATGTAGCAATATGAAGAAAAAAAAAATCACAATGAGGTCTGAAAATTGTTCTAATATGAGGGTTGGGAATTTAGGAGCAATTTTGGGATAAATTGTGAGGCTTTGGGTATCTTAGAAATAAAAATATTTTCCAATTTAGGTAAGTTTAAAATCATTGAAGGATGTGGTTTACATTAGGTCTCAACCTTGCACATCAAAGTAAGGCACACCCCGATTTCTATTGTTAGATGAAATTTAGGTGCCAAGAACCTTTGGATGATTTGAAAATCTATTTTCATCGCTAGTTATAAAATTTAAAGCTTCAAAAATAGTATAGCAGATCCATAGACACTTAAAAATCTTAAAATTTGATGATCCAACTAATATATAAGATGCAGTATTTTAGGACTTCAAAGCCATACTTTTTTCTATATCCTTATTACTCGAGATCATGATTATCGATTTGGGGGTTTTTCGGTATCAGAACAACTTTTATTGATCGGATTTTGAGGTCATGTTACTTCTAAAGTATAAAGTTGATGCCTTATATCATGAACTCTTCCTTTCATAAAAATATGATTTATTAGGTGGCAAATTAACATTTTGATGTACAATTTTTCTTGCCATTTTTCAACAATAACAAAAAAAATCATGTGCAAAGTAAAGTATGATCGATATGATCATGGCAAAGCCATAGTCATAATTTATTGATCATCCAGTCAATTGACTGGACGGTTAAAGGTCCTCCTCTCCACCAGCGTCCAATTAATTGGACGTCAATAACATGCATGTCATTACATGTAGAATGCAATTTCCATAAAAGCCTCACCTCAAATCCTCATTTGGAAAGCACTTTAGGAATTGAAAATCTTCCTGATGCTCTAAAATCAATTTCCTACACCGACTATAAAATTTGAAACTAAAAAAAATAGTGCAGATCTTGTAAACATATGAGTACTTATTTATAGGGTAAAATGGATAGTCCAAATAATGTGTTACAACATACACTATTTTTAAGACGTGAAATCCTAATTTTCTTAACAACCATAACGGTCAAGGTCGAGATGATCAATTTAAAGGTTTTCTGATTTCAAGACAGTAATTTTTTGTTGGTTTTGAGATGGGGCTTTATTTATTTTAATAAGGTTATTTAAAACATTTTTCTACGTCTATGATGAGTGGATCGTATCATACTTTTGCCCTAAAAAAACATAAAGCAAAAATTTACAATGTAGGCTATCACTGTCCATCAGTGGATTGGACGATGATAGAGTAGAGTGAGTTATTCTAATAACTTAATGACTTTTTGGTGGGACCCATTGCATCATCATTGTGGATAAGTGAGGGTCATAGTTTTATGCTTACTACTTATTGTGACCATAGGGATCATATTATACAGTATAAAATACAGTTGATCTGGTAACTAAGTTATTTTAAAAAAATATAATATGACTAATTACCTTTAAAATAGTACGTCATAAACACACATAGCCAGCAGATGTAAAATTGGTGGCTGGGGATGTGCCTTTGGCTGCTCTCAAAATCCATAAAATTTATTCTCATACATATCATGTGGAGAAACGGCAAAACCTCAACTCTTAAATTTTACATCTACGGTTGGGGGAAATTTCCCCTCAAGCAAAATTTATTCATTCTGCCACCCAAAACATGAATGGCTGGCAATCGGGTTGGGTCGACCTGGGCACGGCCTAGATCAAGTATTGGACCCAGTGGATAGTGTTCGCGCTCAACCTGGCCAAAGCCTATGTCAAGTCCTGTCTAGATCCATTTATTACCTTATCGGATCGGTTTGCGGTTCACTCGAACTGATCCATTACTTTATTTATATCTCATCTACAACCAATAATTTTTACATATTAAAACATAAATATAAAAAAAACTTATATATTTTCAATTTAAACCCAGACCCGAACCGATTCAGTGGGTTAGGTACGTGTCCAATGACTTGGACCCAATTTGGGTCTAGGTCGAATCAGGGTCCAACAAGGACGCAAACAGGTTAGGATCGGTCCGGATCCAAGATATTGACTCTCCTAACCTCAATGCACTAATGTAAGAACTAACTATTGTTATTACGCTAATCTTTGTGGATTACCAAAAAGGCATGGGTCTAATGTATTTCAGATCAACAAAAAAAAAGAAGAAAGTATTCCATTTTCCGTTTTTGAATCTACATCTGGAATTTTCTCTATTAACAAAAATTTGAAAAAAAAGAAAAAGAAAAAAGAAGCTTTAAAAGCTTCAAATCTATGTGCTACAGCGTATCTATGATCCATACAATCACCATAAATCTACAGTAAATATGTGGAAGGATGGTGGATCTCCTCAACTTGAGTTCGTGGAGTCCCACCCCCTGAATCACTGCCCAAACTATTATATGGACGGTGATGAGCCTCATAATTATGACGTTTACAATGTCTTTCAAGTGCACAGCGTGCTCTTGTGGTGGGGGATCATAATGTATAACAAATACTTAAAGCAAAATAGCTATTTGGGAAGATTTTATTTATTCAAAATTAGGGGATCTATTATAGTATTACTAGATTATTATTTTAAAAAAGATAAATTTAGATTTTAAGTTTTTGACCATCAAGATCTTTCCTTCATAAAATTGGATGGTTCTTATGCAATTTTGGGATGTCATTTTCTTGACGTTCCTCACTAGGTTCAAGAGATTACATCCCATAATTTTGGGATATGAAAATGCCTTAGAGAGTAGATGAACAACGTACACCTGCAGAAGCATAAACTCTTTTGGCATGCCTTACTATCAAACTCTATTTTATAGTGTCTATGTGAATCCTACTGTACATTAATAATCAATGACTTGTAACGTGGGACCCATTCTCTCTGCATCAACGTCCAACTTGTTTAATTGACGGTGATGGCTAATATGCCATATTAACTCTTTTTTTTGACATATAAGAGGAGAACAATTTATTTTTTAGTACAAAAATATCATAATTATTTCTAGCCGTAGAATATTAGAAAAATTTTGTTTTAAATTTTAATTTTAATATAAGAAAATTACAATTATTTTTAGCTGTAGAATATTTGAAAAATTTTGTTTTAGATTTTAATTTCAAATAAAAATTAACCACCATATTTCAAATTTTGCTGCCAATAATGATCGTGACCTCCCCATATCAAAAGGAAATGAATTATATACATCTTCGTTTACCATGTCAAAATAATAAAATAAAAGAATTAGCCATTTTCCATTTTTGAAGCTCTGAGAAACTCACCGATAACGTGCCCTTACAGTGGCTACATTTGAAGCATGATTTGTGATAATTAACCCCATCAGCCGATAACAAATCCACCACATAAACTGTCTTATCACACATCTTACACTTCTGCAAAGTCCCACTAAATGCCATCTCTCTCTAGAAAAAAAACCCTAAAATGTATAGCCCAAATGAGCCCTAGGAAATCGCCGGAGAATTACTGAATTGGCCGGAAAAATAACGGAGAACCCTAAAATTGCCGGAGAGGTACGGTGGAGGCAGGAAATTAGGGTTTCGAATTTGGAAAGTGAGAGAGGAGAAATGGATGAAGAAGAAGAAGGGGAGGGGAGGCATGAGTTGGGGACACGTGGCGTGAGATTAGAGGGGTGGGGAAGCGAGTCTTAGGGTTTTACAGTTAGGGTTTCAAGGGAACGTGGGATGGGCAAGGCCTGGAATTGTTTGTGGCTTTGTTTTGTTTGTTGTCTGAGAGTAAGAGGGTGGTTTAGAGAGAGAAAGAGAGGAAAGGGTCAAGTTTTCTATGTTGGGTTTTTTCAGGTTGGATGTAAATGGATCATATTTTAGCCTTTTGATTGATGAGTAATCCTTAGTTGATGATTAATCTTTAGTTTAATGGATAGTAATTTCATGCATGCAACGGTTGTATCATAGTATTACATTAAGTTGTTATAATTTTGAAACATTCAAATTTAAGTTTTTGATGCATGCAACAGTTGTATCATAGTATTACATTGAGTTGTTATAATTTTGAAACATTTAAATTCAAATTTCCGATGCGAAATTCGTTAAGAATAGTTAAAATAACCCAAATACCTTTGGTGAGTGTTTTTATAATTGAACTAGGTTTTCACCTTGGTTATGCTGCCTAACCCTGCATTACTCTGACCCTTGGATCTTTCACGATTGTGACATGTTCTCATTGTTTTCGACCTCTCATTCCTGCTCGACAATACAATCGATGGATTGTAAATCTCCGAAAGTCAGATCAAAATAGAGTTTTATCAATTTACTTTGTTTTTTTCTGCACTAAAGAGGCATCCCTTTGGTTTTTGCTACATGAGAAACTGAAATCTCTTAGTGATTTCTTAACCACTTTATGAGACATTTTTTTGTTTGTGATTCTCATTTGAGACCCAACCAAATTTAGCCAAAGAGCAAACTAGAAATGGGTCCTATATGTCATAGAAGGCTCTCAAAACTATAAAACTTGGAGAGCTCTTTAACAAGTTTTATCATGGGAGTAATCTACACCCAAGTCTCAATTGTATGACATAAAGAATCAGTGTCCAAGTACTAACTTGTTTTGAAGAACCTAGATAGATATCACACCAATTTTGGTATTTTGCGAAAAAGGGATCCTTATGTGAATCTTGTAATCAATCAATGTATCGATGATATTGGTTACAAGTTGGATTGGCCTATGACTTTCTTCGCTCAGTTGAGACTTTATTTATTTTTGCAGCTGCGGGTTTTCGACTTGTTGATGCTCATTTATTTTGGCCTCAGTTAAGAAACTCAAACATTAGATTGCGCACTACCATAGTTTGCTGGAAGATCACTAAGCTTTTAGGATCAGTAGTAGTTCCGAGAATTTATGAACTCCAAAGTAACTAAGAACTCTAAACTCCAACCACTACTTCATAGAACTGGATGCACTTAACCTCGAAAATCATGCCGACTACTTTCACCATTGCCAAATATAGAAGGTCGAATTCCTGCATAATCCAAGTCATGAGAAGTATTTGGTTTAAGTCCTACAAGAATCATGACTCGTGGGCAATATTTATTTATGAAACAAAAGATTTATATAAGATGATCATAGAAGCAAGCTGCACTTAATGTTACTATTAAAAAAAAGAGTTCGAGCTCTAAAAGTAGAAGCATTTCGTAACATATTATCTATTATCAAGAGGGGAAATATATGTTCAAGTCATCATAAACTTTCCCACACTTAAACTACATATTCAAATCATCATCTAGATTTTTAAGTGTTTATAGATCAGTTTGATCTACACTATTTTTACAACTTTAAATTTCATAATTATGAATAGAAATATATATTCAAGTCATCATGAACTTTTCCGACACTGAAACTATATATTCCAACAGCACTTGCACCTTACTTTGATTATTTAAGGTGAACGCCTTATATAAACCTCACACTTTATTAAATGCCTCAAGACTATCTACTCTTACATAAGCACCCCTGATCATCCAAATTGCGATTAGTAATCTTTTTTAGCGCATATGCTATGCTCCCGCCGGAGCATATACTATATATCTACTCCCTCGGTCTGAAAATTTGGGATCCACCTAAAAGTCACTAGATGATTATTTTCAAACCAGAAATTTTAAATTTTAAGTTTTCTAAACCTTAGATCTCACCGAAAAAAAATATGGCAGTTTTTGTTCAATCTTGAGATTTTTTTTTTTTTTTTCAAGTGCATGGATAGTACTATTTGAGAAATCTTTTTATCGAGGTTAGTCTAGAAGTCAAAAGTTTGCATCTCTGAAAATTTGGGGTCTCACAAGTACTCCTATATTGGTTTTCACCTTGAGGGAGTAAATGGACGGCGTGCTCCCACAAAAGCATGAAATCTTTTGGCTTTACAAATGGCCTCAAGAAGATCTACATTACGAGGGAGTAAAACTCACCTCCTAATTCATCAAAAATTTATTCAAGCATGGGAAAACCTTTACATCGATCATCTCGGCTTTACATCAATCATCTCAGCTTGAACTTATTAGTTGTGAAAAAAAAAAAAACAGGATTTTAAGCTCTACAAATCGTGTATATTGCAACAAATTATGGAGACCGTCCATTTCAACCTAAAATTAAGTGTACGTAGATCCGCAAGATCTGTACCTCTTTTTGAGTTTCAAATTTTATTGTTGATGCTGAAAATTGATTTAGATCCATTATGGTGATTTTTGTTGCCGAAAGTGCTTTCCTGACAAGGATTTGAGGTTAGGCTTTATTTTGTTTTCATGAAGACTGGGCCCTATATGACTTAGAAGATATTTTTTATCAAAAACACACATTGAACGTGGCTTATTGTGTAGCTCTCAAACATTTCCTTTTATGGAGCAAATAATCCAAGGAAATGTTTTCTTGTAGGGTTACATTTTGCCAATTTTTGACAATAAGAGCCATAATGACTTGATAGGCTCCAACTTCTACATCCATGTGAACTACTCTTTATGTCCCATCAAGGACTTTCTTATCCCACTAAAACATTAGATAATTGATTAGGCCACAACCTTGCTTCTAAGCTTAGCATTCCCTCAACTTTTGCTCTCTCATGTTAGTTTATTCAACATTCATTCCAAGTTTTTAGCATTCAAGCTCAATTGTGGTGGTTGTTACATCATGAGGTAACATGTTGAATTGCTAGATGTGGTTGGCCAAAACCCCATAAATTTAGGGAGTATGAAAAGAGATTGTCCATAATTGTGTATATCTGTGGCACAAAAACTTATAAATCTAATAAATAGGTAGGGGCCCGATATCCTGACTGATTCTCCCAAAAATAAAAGTTATAAATCATCAATGCTGTCATATGTGAAATTGTATAGATGGGGTATATCATTGACCGCCCTCAAAGTCTGATGAGGTTTTCTCTGTTTTTGTAGTAAAAATTTGGATTTTACATTTGATGACTAGAATGTCTATAACTTAAAATATAGTATATAATACTTAAAAAATATTTTACCTATACTCTCTCCCTCGAGTAAAACCTCAACCTAGTGGCCTACTTAAAAAAAGAGGAAAATTTGTATACACTGATATGCTTGAAAAAAATAACCGTCTTTGTATTGAACATGGAGCTTCTGATTTTTGGATTGCTAAATTCAAGTATTGAGGAACTCAAAACCTTATTTTCTTTCAAATACTCATATGTTGATTAAATGATAGATCCCAAACTTGCAATGCCAGGAAATTTCCCTAAATACGCTTTGCCCGAGGGAGTAAGCATGCAGATTACTCTCGCAGGAGGACATTGTTCAACCTCAAAAAAATTTCAATACTTGAAATAATAATATTTTTCAATAGATTATATATATATATATATATTGGAAATTTTTTATATAAAGGTTAGGCCCTAAATAATCAAATTAAGGCACACATAAAAAATTCACTAGAAGAAGTTCTTTCTATGCTTGAAAATCCTCAAATTGATCATCTCAATTTCAAGATGTATGAACATGAGAAAAAATAGATTTCAAGTCTTGGAATATAATGCAATATTTGGACCGTCAATTTTTCAAGATTTTAAGTGTTCATAGATAAGCTCAATCTACACTATTTTTTAAGCTCTAAATTTTATAATTAGATATGAAAGCAAATTTTGAGGTTATCATGAAGAATTTCAGTACCAAAACAATACATTTTGATGCTATTTGAAGGTGCAACTTACTTTAATTGTTCGGGGCCTCAGCCTTATATGAACCACACTCATAGATATATACTATCCCACAACTGGTTCGAAATCTTCATCAATTTCTTTCGGGATAAGCGATCCATATAAGAAATGACCGATTTTTAAAACATCGCTTAAACATTTTATAACTTGTGCTAAATTTTTTATGCTGGACCCATCATCTCATAGTGGGTCTTCATCCATAGGACAGGATGTAATTTGGAGACGGAATCCATTGTTATCATCAATTTTAGGAATTTACTCGAAACTAACTCTTTGTCTCATCAATTATCAAAATTGATGGAACACTCTCTTAATCAAACTTTTGTCTTGCCTTGTTGCGTGTCATTCTTTACCATTGATGGAGGCCCAGTAATGGGAAATGGTTTGATACAGCTGTAGTCCTATCAAAATCAGTAAAACATCACTTTATAACTCATAAAAAATTATAATTTAAGTGTTGAAAAACCTTTGATCATCTAAGCTTTAATATTATGGTGGTGAAAAGAATTAGTATTTCAAGTTTTTAAAATGGTATAGATTGCAGCAAATCATCTAGACTATCTATTTCTCTTTAAAAATAAGTATCAACATAACTGCAAGATTTGTACTTTTTTTTTAGTATCAAGTTCTACTTTCAGTGTCGAAAATTGATTCTAAAGCCTTCATGAGGATTTCTAACACCCATAGTGCTTTTCAAATGAGGATTTTAGGTGAGTATTTATTTTGTTTCTATATATCCTAAACCCTATATAAACTTTATCATTAATAATGATAGGTTTTATTTTTATTTTTATTTTGACAATAATTTATTGTTATAGGTGTCGTCAATCAATCATTGAGTTTCTTCCCTTCAAGATTAGAGCCACGTGCTCAAATTCCATTACCAATTGACATATGCAATCTTCTCCATCCAACGGTTTAATCACTAAAAGTTCCACCGACTTCTCACCAACTTTATGGCCTACAAGCATGCGGGGCACACCTATTTTGCTCAATCCATCCTAGTGGATATGGATTTGGATAGGGGTGGCAATGGAGCTCACGGGACCCGGGACTTGGCAAGTATACCGGATCTTGGGT